ACTCAGCAGCAGTGAGTGAGTGAGGTAGCATCTGATTTTACCAGAAGGAGTTCTGCCTAGGGGAGCACTTTCCAGCCAGGGAAGCCAATAATATTTGTGCTTATCTGTCTCCTCTATGACCTCTATAACATGGTCTTTAAATATTGATCATCTTAGAAATTCAAGAAAGGTTTTTTTTTTTAAATGAAATTACTTCTGTTAGCTCTGTAGTACAATTAGCCACTACTGCTAAATGACAAGATACTGAATAATAAGAACATTACACCTTGATTTATTTGCTTAGAACTCATAGTTATGCCTGATCTCAAATGGCCACAGGGAGATTTTGGAGCCTCATCAATAACTGCTAACATTTATTGAGCAGTTACTATGTTTAAACTTTTTTTTCTAATTTTTTTCTATTACTACTGTATTTACAGAATTCTAATACATTGTTTTTCACACCAGTTCCTTTCCATTTCCCTCACCCACCAAATTGTATGACCTCATAATTAATTTCCACTGCCACACATTCTAACCTCTCTGCTTCCACTTCTCCCCCTCCTTATACTCATTCTATAATAATTTTCTACAGTATTTGACCTTATGGGACTGATTAGGTCACTCAGCATAATGCTCTCCAGTCCCTTCCAAGTTGGGTAATAATTTATAAAATCATTGCTCCTGGGGCTGCATAGTATTCCATTGTATGTATGTACCATAACTTCTCAATCCATTTGTTTATGGTTGGAAATCTGGGCTGTTTTCATGTCCTTGCAATGGTAAAAAATGCTGCTATGAACATTGGTGAACAGTCTGTTTGAACCTCGGTTCTCATTTCCTTGGGGTGTATTTCACAGTGATTTTGAGGAAGGGCCAAACTGCCTTCCAGAGTGGTCAAAAGACATGGGAAGAATTTTCACAGAGGAAGATAATTCGAATGGCTAACAAACACATGAAGAAATGCTCAAAATCACTGGCAATAAGAGAGATGCAAATCAAAACCATAATGAGGTACCATCTCACTCCAGTAGCAGGGTTTTTAACAGGACAGCAAGTAATAAATGTTGGAGAGGATGTGGCAAGATAGGAACTCTTATACAATATTTAAACTTTTTATAGATTTTCATTAACTAATTCCTCAAAACAGTAACAATAGTTATTATAATACTTATTTTATGTTGTTATGTGCTGCCTAGTTGAAACTAACCCATAGCTGACCCTCCAGCAGCTTTTCAGAGTCAGTAAATCTCATGGGAGGAGATTACCCAGCTTTTCAGCTTGTGGATTTGAACTGTAAGCCTTTGGGTTGGTAGGCCAATGCATGAGGAAAATGAACAACAGAAATATTGCACCAGATTATATCATTAGTAAATAGCAAAGCCAGGATTTGAACCTGCCAGGCTAACTCCATAGCCTTAACTACATTAAGTGTATTGCCCTCCTACTCAGTAAAATTGTGCCCATATGTTAGATTTAGAGACCGAGTTAGAGTTCTGGAGATGTTGACTTTATCAGCTACAGCTGACAGACCAACACTGCACTGATTTGATAATTTAAATCCATTATAACCCAGATATGATGATGTTATGTACCATTGAGTTGAAACTGCTCAGGTAGTCAATTGCATGGGAGGATATTGCCAGTCTTTTTCCTGTGAAGCAGCTGGTAGATTCAAACCTCATGCCTTTGTGTTGGCAGTGCAGCACCTTACCGCTTAGCCACCAGAGCTCCCTAAGAGATGAGGATTTTTATAATTATAAGGGGATACATACCATCTGCCAAGTATTAAGATTATATTGACTTTAGCCTCATGATTTATACCTTTACAAATAGAAATCAGTGAAAAATGTGTTTTGAAGTATTAAATGTCAACCCCTGTCTTATGTTCGCATTTATATACAATAGTTGATACCACAGGTGTATGGAATAATTGTATAAATGAAACTCATCCAAAAGGCCACAGAATACTTTCTTCATGGGGTTTAATTTGAGGATTGGGTGCTATTTCAAGGAGAAACCAGTCCATAAATCTGTAGATATTCCTAGAACAAGAGAGATGCATCAGTTATTAGCATCAGTGGGTGAACCTTGCAGGGCTGTGAAGAAAAGAGAAACTGACCACCCTCTACACAGCTGTCCCTGGCCTTTGTCCACTTGATTGAGCTTAGTATCATTTCATGGCCCAGATCATGGCATGCAAATTCATAAAGCATTTTTTAGCTACTAATTGCAGATGATTAGTGGGGGAAGAAAAATGATCTGTTATTTTTCTATCAGCTGCCACTTTTACTAACAAGGAAAGGAAACATGGCAAATTCTTATTTCACATCATGAAATAGAATAGCTGAAGTCACCAAGTGTTCTGTCATCAAACAAGATACTTCACTACTTCTTGTTCAAAATGCAAGTTCAAGTTGAACCTGAAGAAATGAAACAATTCTGTAAGAGAACCAAAATATGACCTTGATTATATCCCATCTGAATTTCTTGGTTTTATGTGCTGACTGATACTGTGTTTTGTGTCTGCGACTTAGAGTGACTCTGTGAACAAGAACTCTAAACACTGCCTTATCCTGAACTAATTATATTGTCTCTGATGTCAGTCCATCTATCATGAGGCTGCCAGTTTGCTCTGTGATGACAATCTTTTTTTTTCTTGATATTGAGCTTCAATCCATATCAAAGACTGCAGTCCTTGTTCTTCTGCAGCAACTGTATCAGGTCCTCCTCAGTTTCAGCAAGCAGAGTTGCATCATCCACATAACACAAGTTGTTGATGAGTCTTTCTCCAATCCAGTGGTGCCACATTCATCCTCATAAATTTAGAGGCTATTTTAAGAACAGACTTGATGAACTGCACACTAGTGAACAAGAACCAGAGAAGCTGTAGAATAGTATAAAGGATAAAGAAAGCAACAAGTTCTTCAAAAGACAGCAAAGAAAGAAAAAGCCAAAATTATTGTCAGGAGAGGATGGATCTAAAGGAGCAAAATTTTATATTTATTTAATCGGTTTTTGCTTCTCTAGAAAACTAAGCCTAATCCAGCTCTTCACTATTGCTAAAGGCATCCTGGTAGCATAGCATGCCAAGTTTTGGGTTGCTGTTCACTTCCTAAACAGTATTGCTCTGGAAACTCTATGTACTTTGATAAATGATAGTTATAGAAAGATTTCAGTCCTTTTGTTCATAGGGTCACTGTGAGTCGTGCTCGACTTGATGGCAATCAGCAACAACCCAGATATTAACAGTTTCGACTCACCAGCCATATTCAGAAAGAAACCTTGAAGCATTTCTACTCTGTCCTATAAGGTCATGAGTTAGAATTAACTGGACAGCAGTGGATGCCAGAATAATTGACTTGAACAGACTTTAATTGCTGTTGTACATGGGTAGTATAGTTTTCTTAAATGCGTAACTGCAGCTATGATGTACTGCCCAGATCTCTCTTTAGGAATTAACTTGTTCCCAACTCAGGACAACTCTGAAGGGCCATTTGTCTTTCTTGCTATTTCACTGCAGTCCAACTCCTCCCTCTGCTTAGCCTTTCCCTTCCCACGAGTATTTTCTAATAAACTTTTTGTAAGAAGTTTCTCAGTCTGCTTGTTGGGAAATCCAGCCTGTAATAACATTTGTCTTGCAGGCTCCTCCTTCTTAGTTTCAGATCAAATGACGTATAGTTATGTAAAATCTTACTTATTCAAGATCATTTCATCAGGCTTATATTGACCTCCCCCATTCTATGCCACATGTGTTAGATACAATACCTGGCCTTGCCCTGAAGCACTTTACAGTTTGAGATGGTAAGTAAATATTGAGCTATATTATACATCTTTACAGTGACACTTTTTGAAATGATCTTTAGTAATTTTAGTATAAAAGTTTAGATATGTAATGCAGAGAACAAAAGGAAAGCATTTCAGGGGAAGGATAACAAATGTACTGTGTAGACTGAAATTTTAGAATGCTACAGAATTTGGCTTTATGGTTCTAAAAACTTGGGAAAAGGGTGTGTGTGTGTGTGTGCACGCACACACACTTTTTACCTTGAAAGGATTTAAAACTTATAGAAAAAGTTACATGCAGATTAATCACTTTTTGACATTTCTCCGCATATTTTATTATTCTCCTTATTCAGATTTTCTTAACTATCTGAGAATAAGTTAGATACACCATGCATCATTATCCCTTAATACTAGAATGTATATTTCCTAAAAACAAGTATGTTTTCTGATGCAACCACAATAGTTATCCAACTGAAGAAATATCTTTTGATACTTAAACTACAGTTTATATTAAACTTTTAAATTATTATGTAAAAAGATGTTTTAAGTCATAGAAATTTGTGTTTTAAACCAAAAATTTCCTTAAGTAAGCCGTAGACCATCCCAGAAGTCTGCTAATTTGATTAAAATACCACAGTGAAATACACTCCTTCCGATTTTCTATGGAGAACAGCGTGGATAAACTCAGATTACCAATAAAACTGTGAGTAAAGCTCTCTCCAGATGTGAGTTTTGCTCTGGAGAGCCCATTTAGTTGCAGGGTGCTTTTCTTTTACAATAAATTCTGTGTTGTGGATCCAAGCATTGTGGATTTCTTTATCTGTTACGTAGAGCACACAGATTTCACCTTTTGCTCAATCAATCCTTTACTTTATCAATTAAGTGCTTTGGATTTGCGCTTGTTACTCTGGCTTCCAGGCCAGTGGGAAAAGAAAGGGACTGCTCGAGTCATTAGACCTGCCTGATCTCTCCTAAGGCTTTGCCTCTGACCCTTAACTAAACCCTCTCAGCCTCGGCACACAAGTCCTTTTAGCAGCTCGCGGACCCCAGCTGCCTCCCGGTGTCCTGGTGCAGCCCGGGAAGAGCGGAGCAGCATGCGCTCTGGAGCTGCCAGCACGTCATTTCCGGCGGGTCTGTTGGGAGTTGGTGGTGGTGGCAAATGCCCAAGCTCCTGCCTCCCAGGGAGGAAGAAACGAAGATCGTGCCCACCCCAATTCTGGACGCCACGGCAGGCAATGGCCTCGACGTTGAAGGTGGAGCAGGATGTTCAGGGGAAAGTGGATTCATTTAGGGCCCGCATTGCCCAGGAGGCCGAAGAACTGGTGGCCACCTTCTTCCCACAGAAGCTGTCTGAGCTGGATAACCGGGTCCAGGAGCTCCGCCTGCAAGACCTGTCAAAGATCCGTTCAGTGCCCACTCCAGGACTCCATGCTGCCCCAGATACCGTGGGCGATGGGCCTAACCGGGATTCACAGCCTCTGCAGACCCCATCTGCAACCACGTTGGCACTGCCAGGGGGTGAGGGACAGTTTCTGAGGAGCAATCAGCATCTGGTGGAGCTGATTGAGCGGGTAAAGCCTGAGATCGAGCTGCTGAGAGAGAAATGCAACACAGTGAGGATGTGGGTGCAGCTGCTCATCCCCAAGGTGGAAGATGGCAACAACTTCGGAGTGTCTATCCAGGAAGACACAGTGGACCAGCTGTGGACAGTGGAGAGCACCGCAGCCTCCTATCTGCGCCGCTTCTCTACCTACTACAATACTCGGGCCAAATTGGTGTCCAAGATCGTGAAGTATCCCCAAGTGGAGGATTATTGGCGCACAGTGGCGGAGGTCGACGAAAATGAGTACTTGAGCGTGCGACAGATTCTTCTGCACGTTCGTAACCAGTATGCCACCTTGCATGATGTAATCCTCAAAAACATCGAAAAGATTAAGACCCCTCGGAGCGCTAACACAGAAAACCTGTACTGAAAACCTTTCTTCAGCCCACCTGCCATCAGGAATTAACTGAGCTGTTCAGGCAGGCAATTATTAATGACTTTACAGGTGATGAAACGACTGCATGTGTTTGTTCATTTTTAATCCTGTACAGCCTATCCTTATACTGAATCAATTTGATTTAATTTTTATCTACTTTTGCTTTCTAGAGGAAAGTGGGGTAAACCACCTGGTAGAGAAGGTGGTAAAATTGCCTAAAAACTGCCATTTTAAAAAGCAGCTTTGTTAGAGGAATGTTGGCCAGGGTCTCCTTATTATGGAATTGATAACATTGAATGGCTTCAGATGTTACTTAAAACACAAAACGAAAGTGAAGCTTCTCCCTAATGTTCTGCTCGGACACTTTGTTCAAACATCAGAAATGCTTCAACCCACCATCATTTGTTTTTTGCAAGGAAAAGCATATTAAATGGGTTGTGGTCTTTGTATGCCTCAAATTTAGATTGAAATAAAATATAACATTTTTGAATGGCTTAAGTATTATCTGAACTTAAATTTTCAGATAGATAAATTCCTTCTTTATTATTTGTACTGGTGGCATTAATATTTTCCCCCTCTGATATATAAGAAAATTGAGCATATAAAGAGTAATAGACCTTAATATTTCAAAGGAAGCAGACATCTGAACCTCACTTAGAATGAAGAATCTGTGAAAACAACTTTCCTTACATAACCTACCATCTCAATAGCTTTTTGTTTCTCTCTACACCGTTCAGAATAGTTTCTATATATCTTTTTTTTATCTCTTTGTTGTTTTTTTCTTTGGTTTTTTATTTTTTTAAATCTCTTTGTTGTTGTTTTGCCCTTGGATTGGAACTGTACCAAAGCTGACCCTCCAGTGGATTTTCAGAGGCAGTAATAGCACAGGAGGAGATTGTCAGTCCTTCTCCCGCAGAGCAGCTGGTGGATTTGAACCATGTGCCTTCAGATTTACAGTGAACATTCTTCTTGCTAGGTCAAAACCGCTCCTATTATATCTAGTTATTTCTCATTTGCTCAAGATAATTCTTAAATATTCTCATTAGAGTTTCTCAACCACATTATATATTCTTAAACACGTTAAAATGTTATAGAGAGTTCCACAACCATTCTCCCCTCCCCCCCCTCCCCCCCCCCTCCGCTTCTGGTAATGGTTGAGAGAAAGCCGTTGTTGTCTTCTTGAAAGCAATCTATACGATTAATGTTTGTTTCTAAAGTTTAATATTTATAGATTTCTAGACCTTCATTTGAAGGAAGGAGCCCTGGTAGCACAGTAGTTAAGTGCTTGACTGGTAACTGAAAGGTTGGCAGATGAGCCCACCAGCTACTCTGTAGGAGAAAGTCAGCTTTTGTAAAGCTGTACAGAAAACTTGATGAGTTAGTTCTACTCTGACCTATAGAATGAAACAAAATTGACTCAGTGGCAGTGGGTTTGATTTAGGTCTTATTTGCCAATAAGTTAAGTTATTGCAGAGTTAGGCACCAGGGAAAATTTCTTGCTTGTGACAAGGTTGACATTTTCTTTATAATGAGTCTTCACAAATGCTTACTATGCATTAGAGAGCTAAACAATGACTAGGGATGATAGGAAGAGAATTGATGCCTTTGAGCTGTGGTGCTGAAGAAGAGTGTTGAATATACCCTGGACTGCTAGGAGAACAAACACGTTTGTCCTGGAGAGGGTGAAACAAGCCTGCTCCTTGGTGTCAAGGATTCTGAAGCTTCATCTGACATACTTTAGATATGTTACAAGGAAGGACCAGTCCTTGGAGAGGGACATCATGTTTGCGAGAGTGGAGGGACAGTGCAATAGAGGAAGACCCTCGATGAGTGGATTGATTCAACGTCTGGGGTTATGGGGGAAGTTGTATTAGAGACAATAAGATTGACACAGGATAGAGCAGGTTTTAAGGCTTTTTGTACAAGTCGCAAGTGACTTGACAGCACAAAGCTCTGGTGGCCTAGTGGTAAGAAGATATGCTGCAATCCCAGAGGCACACAGTTTGAATTCACCAGCTGCTCCATGGTAGAAGAATGGATATTTCCTCCTTTGTGATTTATTGCCTCTGAAAACACACTGGACAGTCAGCTGTCAATTGATTTTAACTTGACAGCACACAACGTTTAAATAGTTATGTTGGTTTATGTGGTTCACTACATACTGTTCTGCTAACTGAAAGGTTAATAGTTTGAATTCTCCTGCCTCTCTAAGGGAGAAAGCTTGACAGTCTGTCTCCTCCTGTAAACATTTACAACTTTGGAAGCCTGACAGAGGGTTGCCATGAGTCAGAATTAACAGCCATGGTTTGTTGTTTTTTTTAACAGCAATGACTAAGATAATGTAGGTTGCTGAAATATGTTTATTCAGAGTCCCTTTGTTCTGCTATTAGTATTATCAGAGTGTGTTCATAATTCAAAAATCACCACCTGTCACACTTACATAATAATTTGGTTAGTAGCATGCATGCTACATAGCATTTCACTAGAGTGCCTTACATTTCACAAATTTTGAAAAGTGTTGAGTAAAAGTTACTTTTTTGGGTGCCCTTTGATATCTAAGAATGAGAATATTTCTGCACACACACTTGACAACTTTTATCCTCATTTAAATAGGCTGTGGTCTGAATCCTCATGGTATTTTTGAGACTGAAGGGATTGACAAAAAAATAAAGCCCTAGAAACTGATGGTTTATCAATTGATGTAGTTCAACTAACAGATGCTGCCCTGGACGTGCTCGCCAAGTTGTATCAAGAAATCTGGAGGACAACCTCTTGACCAACTGACTGGAAGAGATCTATATTTGTTCCCATTCCAAAGAAAAGTGACCCAACAGAGTGTGGAAATTATC